AGAGCATGTAAATGCGCTTTCACAGTGTGATGGAGAGTGTCGTGATGAACCTTGACGTCGCTCGGCAGCGCTAATCACATTTACAAGCAGGATCTACGGTCTGAGATTCTCAGACAGAACCGATACGGGCATTTGTTCTCAAGCTGTGTGTGTCCGAGGGACAAAATCGTACTAAACGCTCCAATCCAAGAAAAAAAAAAAAAAATTAAATACGCTATTACTTCAATCGACAAAGCTGTTTAAATAATTCTTGCCGTCTCGCAGCAACGCTTCCCAAGCCAATAAAATAGTAAATAAGCACGAAGAAGGTTTGTGTGAGTCGGCGGGCGGGCTTTTATGAGCTCCAGTGTCTTCAAAAGCCTGAGGCGGCGGCGCCGCCCGCTCTTTTAGGGACGCCCGCCAATGCGTTCACGGGGCCGAACGCTGCACGGCGGCCCCAAAGTGTTAAGGGTGTTGGGTGTCACTCGGAGGTGCCAAGCGAGCAGGCCACTGGTAGAACATCTTTTAAAAAGAAAAAAAAAAAAATGGCGACTTTGACATCCTATTTCCAACCGGGACGTCCCCGTCGCGACGTGTATTCGATGCAATTGGGTTGAGGGTGCCGGCAGAGGCTTGTTTGAACCCTCCAAGAAGGAGCATCACGTGGACTCTTCCATGTCGTGTTCCTTCTACCTGGAAGACCTGCTTCACTCCGACGCCATCCACAAATGATCCGATTTGACATTCTAGCGTGCAAAACGAGTGCACGTTCCGCCGTCGAAAAAACACGGCGGCACACTCCCCCCTTAAGAGACCCTCGCTCGGCCCCTCCCTAGACAAGCCGGAGGTAGCTGGGCGTGGAGTAGTTGAACATGAGGAAGTCCAGCTTGTAAAGCTGGTACAGCTGCACCTGCTGCGCGGTGCTGATGTTGCTGAAGAACTGGGCCGTCATGGCGTCGGTGGTGCGGGTGGACTTGGCGTAGCTGGGGAAGCGTAGGGAGTCGGCGACGCCGGCCAGCCGCAAGACGTAGTTGGCGTCCTCCTCCAGGGTCTCGTACTTGCCCACCAGGTCGTAGTGGATGTGACACGGGTGGCACAGCTGGTAGACGGTCTGCCAGTGTTCGTTGAGCGGGCCGTCGCGCTGCGTGGCCGGGTCGGCCAGGTACTCGGCGAACTCCTTGAACTTGACGTCGGCGCCGTTGGCTAGGGCGTCCTGCGTGGCGTTCTTGCGGTAGCGCCGCACGATGCGCGTGCCGAAGCGCTTGTGGAAGGACGAGTTGTACTTGAGGGTGAACTTGTTGCGGTAGGCCGACACCAGCCGCTCGAAGGGCTCGCGGACGAACAGGAACTTCAGGTAGTTCTTCAGGCGATGGTTGATCTCGGCGATGCTGTACTGGTTCAAGGTCTTCAGGTTGGACGGGATGTGGGCTTCGTTGGACGGGATTTCCATCGGGTCGCTGCGGGAGACAAAGTATCAAGAACCGTATGAGACCATGCCGTATTTCTTACCGGATTGGCCCGAATATAAGACGGCCCTGATTATAAGACGACCCCCTCTTTTTCAAGACTCAAGTTTGAAAAAAGACTTTTTGAACACCAACTTAATTTACATACAGAAAATAATTACAGTACATCTGACACAAATGATTATAACGATATATTAGAGAGAAAAAGCATGTTATTTTGCCTCATTCAAATCTTAATATCTGAAACATTTAAATATGTAAACTAAAGTGCAATCACATTCGTAAATGAATGGCTTCTGGTTTTTGAAATGTAAATGACATCATAACTTCTCCTCAGCTGCCGGTTAACCTGGCCGATCTTCGACCCACTTTTCTCCAGATTGTCGCTACGTTTCTCCATTTTCTGTTATCTCTTCTATTATTTTCGACTCTTTTCTTTCTTGCCGCTATTTTTTGATTTTTCTTCTTCGTGCTACCGCTATTTTTATTTTTTTATTCTTTGGCCTGGGGAGTCAAGTTTAGCATTTGCTTCAATGGTATCTGGTGCCATCTAGTGTCATGAATGGGTATAATGTCTAGACCCCGAATATAAGACGACCCCCACTTTTTCAGTCTTATTTCAATGCAAAAAACACCGTCTTATATTTGGGCCAATACGGTAATTAGCCTTTCACCCCCCCACCCCCCTTACCTGTATTTTCCTCGGCCCGTCAGCACCATCATGACGCGCTTCCAGTTGGTACAGGCCACCTTGGGGACGTAGCAGTAGATGAGCTCGTGGTCCTCGTCCACCACCAGGTGTTTGAGGTCCCCGGGCGTGAGGACCCGTCGCTTACGGCTTGACGTGCTGTACACCCGACAGGCGTCCGCCACCTGGTCCCGTCGGGTCTGGTGGAGGAGGGCCGCTCCCGACAGCTCGGGCTGGGCGATTGAAAGGACAGCCGTGAGAGAAGATCAGATGGATATATTTTTTTTTAATTTCAAACATCTCTGTTGCCTCTCGCGTTGATTTCACCTCAGGGTTCAAATTCCCCCGCGGGGCAGTGCTCCCCACCCCCGTGTCTCCTGGAGGAATTTAAATGGATTGTAATGCCGCCTGCATATTTCCCCCGTTGCCAACAAGCGCGGCCTTTCAGCGCGGCTACCGCCGGCCCACAGCTGCTTCCAACCGAGACCCGAAATAACTGCAAGCCGGGGACCACCGTCCGGCGGCGCATGAACAGCGCGTCTGTATGACATGCCTATGAGCCAGCCATTCACTGTGAACCTTTTCCACCCCTCACCTCCTTTAAATTCCGATGACAGCATATGAGCGAGGTTCTCTGTGGTCAGTCCCGCAAAGCTGACCAACTCCGAAAATCCGTCCTTTTTTGGGCAATGTTGACACTGAACGTGAATTATGTCCAATGTGAGTATGCGGTCACATGCGGGGGGGGGGTTTCAAGAACTAACCCGAGTGACTAGTTTAGATTCCATATATTAACACAGGCGAGTCAAAAATCGCTGAATGACGGTTCCCTGAGCGATAGATTCGGCCTAGCAACGTGTGGCTGTCTGGGAAATACAGAGCGCATTTCCACAAATTCTAGAAACCGGTTTCAAACGAATGCACGTTAGAATACTTTGGAACAGACCATATTTGCACCGGTGAATCTGTTCCGCGCGGTCCAAGATTCTGAACGCCGATAAATCCCTCTGCGGCCACGACACGAATACAATTAATAATGGCGTATTCAGGAAAGGCTAGCATTCGTTTGGAGCCTTGGCCAGCGTTAATTCAATTAGCAAGCGGTGCTGATGTGGTAAAAATCCCATCATTTGCATCAGGTTTGCTAATGGATTAGTCGGATACAAAGCACAGATCGGATACAACTTGTGCACACAATCCATGGAACTGTGCTCCCTTTGAAGAAAAAAAAAAACCCAAACGAAAAAAAGCCTTCAGAAGCTTTGATGCACGTTTCTTGGGCCTTGACGTGTTGTCTAAATCCCACTAAATCTGATTTAAACGGTTCCATTTTTTTCTCCCTCGCCTTTTCCTGTCATATCACATCAAACAACCCGGTTAAAAGCTTTTTGCCGGGCGTCGGGGGCTGATAGATTCCGCACCTCGCGTTTTTCCTCCCTTTTCACGCCACTGCAGATGTATCAAAGAGTGCGGACGATCTTTTTTTTTTCTTCCCTCCCCTCTTTCTCGCAGACAACAAGAAGCTATAATTCACACAAAAGGAACAAGCGAGCGCGGGGCCTTCAGTCCCGGAAGGAGGGCAGACGGTGTAATTAACAACCGCGGGTGTGTAGGGGGGGGCGGATCTGTCCGTCGGCTCATATTATCTCCTGTGAAAGCATGACGGGTCGATACAGTGGCAGAGACCGCCTTGATGGAGGCCGCCGACCTTCGGCGGCGTCAAGTTGTTCCCACGAGGGAAGGGGAAAACAATTAGGAACCCATTTGCCCGCACGCTACCTTGCTAATTCAGCGACAATTGGCGACGCGGCATAAAATAATACAATGATTGAGGCAGTTAGCCGAATCCCATAATACCGTTTTAATCTCCTATTGCTCTCAGGGGGGCCTCAAACCTACGGCGGGTCCCCCCAGCCCCCTTCCCAGTGCCGCTTGATGTGAACAAACTCTTCTCGTCGATTGATTTAGATGCTGTGAGAGCTTTTGCTTTCTCCGGAATAAACGGAACGGAGCTTCAAATGTAGGGGAAGCGTTCCCCCACGATATCGCAATTCATCGATCGTGCATATTTAGAGGAAGCAAGAAGAAGCAGCAGCCTTCGGCGTAGCACACACAACCATGTTTAGGCACCGATTGTCTGGAGCGCTGCCCCGTGTGTTTTTTATTGAAGGTTTTCAATTAGCATTACATTAGCATGAGGCTCGCGGACTTTCATTCGACGAAATGATAAAGTTTGGTTGAAATGCGATCGTCTTGAGTGATGAGGGCATTTCGGACCTGCCACAGTTGCAGGAAAGCGGAAGAAAAAAAAGCAGGTCACTCAAGGTGGAACCTTGTGGAACCTCAATTTACAAACAGCTTTTTGGGGGAAAATTGCTTCTATCATTTTTTTTGGGGGGGGCGGGAGGTTAGAATGGGTTCATGGCATTCTACGGGGACAGCTGATTGAAGATCCCGTGATTTGAGTTAAGAGTCTGACCAGGGACGGACTCGAACCTGTATGTTAATGCGCCACGGTATTGTTTACAAATGCAAAGCTTGAGTTGACTTGCAAATAAAACAGCTTGAGGCACGGGTACGGTGCATCTGTGCGAGCGTCAGAGTGAAAACAGATGCTGAGGAATGTTTTAAAAAGTGTGTTTGAGTAAGTTGAGCGCGTTTAAATAAAACTACAAAAAAAAGCATTTTTTTTTAATATGGTCCATCTCATGGATGACGGGTGGGTGTGCGCAACATACCCAAACTGCAATGATAAAGGACCAAAGAGACCGCTGCCTCCATATGTCTTTTTTTTTTTTTCATTTCCTTGCTACGGCGCATTTTATTGGCCCTGAGCGGTGTCATGAATGTGAAATAAGCATGCACGCGGATGCGTGGCGATAACCTGAGAAAGCTCCGACATCCGCAGAAGACGGAGGAAATGCCTGCAAAGAAGGCCTTTGAGCCGGACAAACTCAAGAATGGGCTTTTCGAATGTGTGGTTTGTACGATGAGGAATTGTCGAGGACTTGATGAACCCAAAAGAAGGGCAAACTGTTTACACAGAAAGTTGAAGCCCCAATTATTACTTTTCACCTGTTTCAATGATGCCCCCCCCCCGCTTCCTGATTAACATTCTAATTGCCTTAATTACAAGCAGAATAAACGCTACACTTCAACCTCATGGCTGCGTTGGGTGGCAGTGTGCGAAACGGAAGGCCAGTCACATATTTGCATTTTCTTCCTCGCTAAACTGTGTCTCTCAATTAACCGAGTGCATCTTAATTTTGGAGTGCGTCCAACCTCATTCGCCTCGAATTGCAGATTCAACCTGGCGCACGGCTGACAGATTCGGCAGACGTTTTCCTTTCCCGCTCGGGCGTTTTCTCTGTTGTTCTATAAAGCACGGTGAGACTTTATAACCAGGGGTGTCAAACTCATTTTTGTCATGGGCCACATTTATTTACCCTTGGAGGGCCGTTATTATTGACTTTATAAAATTTAGTTTCAGTCGTAACGGTTTATTCAACTATTGTTTAAGTTTCTGTAATGAGGGGTTTGGCGACAAGAAAATGCTTACCATGTGTCTCTTATTTATCACATATGAGAATTTAAAATTTTGGTCGAGATTTTAGCAAGCATTATGGAAGTTGACATGTTTGATTTGCTTTCGCGGGCCACAGAAAATGATGCGGCGGGCCACATCTGGCCCCCGGGCCTGGAGTTTGACACCTATGCTTTATACGGACCAAGCTAGCGATAAGAGCGGCACGTTCATCGATGCTTAAATGGGTGAAGCTGTGCACTGAGCTTTAGATTTACTTTATTTAGATTTAGGTTTAGTTTTAGATTTAGCTTAGTTGTAGATTTACCAATTTTTTTTTGGAGGGGGGTGTAGATTGGCTTATGACATGACTGCTTTCTCATTCACTTTGCTCAATGCAGCGCAGGGGCATGGCTCAACATTCTACCTGACGATACTGAATTAGGGAAAACGGCTACGTTATCTCGTGTTGACGACAGTGGACGTCCACGGCGGTGGACAAATCTGTCTGTTTGATATTCACGCGGCTCAACACAAACACAGACGTCTCTCCCCCGAGCCACTCGGCTTCGAGTGGAGTCGGGCTGGCAATGTCGTTTCGCTTAATGAGCCCTGCGCGGAATTGTCAACGGCGCGCTCCGTCACTGTCAAGACTCCAAAATGGACTCGCTTCCAATTCGACGCCGACGTCTTTCCCGGCGACACCTTTGCTGACTGGCGAACACGCAAAAGCGGCTAATCAACAGAGCTGACAAAGACAAATGCGGACACGTCGTTCCAAACACGCGCGGACGCGGTTGAGCGAAAGAATGCCGCAAACACTGGCATTTCCTTGAGCGTCGCGCCAACAGCACGATCAGATGTCAGTCAAATGTAGGAGACTGGACTGTCTCAGAAGTCTTTGTTATTTATTCCTTTGTTGTGTACTGTATTCACAAATGAGGAAATCACAAAATAAATTCTGTAGGGGGGGCTATAGACTTTATTTTGTGATTTCCTTGCTTGATTTTCGCCGCGTACGGACGAGTGTCGCTCCGAGAGAAAACGTAGGACGTCGTTTCGAGCGGGAGCATCAAAGCGACGCTTCTGTTTGGAGCGAGAGGCTCGGTTACCTCTCGGGAAGCCAAACGGGGGAGGAATTAAAGACTTCGCTGCGCTGCTCTTGTCACGTGGGAGGTTGAAGATGACCGTGGAGGATTTGGAAGGTTTTTAATTTCTTACTATTCATGACGGGCGGTTGCAGTCACGTCGATGAAAATAAGGTGTTGAGTCATAAGGTAATCATTTTTCCCCGGCTCGGGCCAGTTCGCTTGTTGTTTGAGGTCGGTGAGGCCTTTTAAAAACGGCATTTTCGGCATCATCGGAGCGCCAATCGAGGGTCCCCCGGTCCCAATTCTATTCCAACATGCGACTAATGACAGGATGCAATGTTCCAATGTGGATTAGAGGTACAGCTTGGTCCACTTTGCCTTTTTTTTTTTCTTTTCCTCCCCCTGGTGTAAAATGAAACAGAACCAGACTACTAATTCCGACCAGAATGTCGAAGCTGATGTCAGATCGTGGCACATCAACCGATGCCAAATTAAAGGGAACATTTGGAAGTCAGGATGCCAAACATGAGCGTCATTCACACGCACTGAAATTCAACGAAGCGCATTCCCGGTAAACAGGGTTCTCGACTGCTTTTGCTGTGATGGATATTGGATGAAAGAACCTCATCCATAGATTTTCGTCAATTATTTGGACACGCTCGCTCTGCTTCAATTGATGCCGACTGAGCATCGCCGCTTCTTGCTGGACCGTCGGAAACGACCCCAAGCCCGCTCCAAGACCTCCCGTACATTTTGCACATCCTTTTTGCTGGCCGCTGATGACTTGTCTCCATTGCGAAATAAGTGGGGGCTCGCTGGGGAGAAATAACACGACGCTTTAACATCATATCTGAGAAGCGTTGAGGTCACTTGCTCTGAGCAACTCATTCGGATTTGAATGATGATGATGAATGGTGGGTGCTGGCCCCCGCGGATCGTTATCGCCGTATTGTCACATGAAATCGGAATCACCTCCCTCGAGCCACAACATCACGAGGCAATAACTTTTACATTCGAACATCAACTTCGGCTTATCCGTCCGCTTGAAGAAAAAAGTAAAAAGGAATACAAAATCGAACACACATACACGCATACAGATATACCTCTCTGTTGACCTCAAGCGCCCGACTCAAGTTTACTCTGGCTGTTGCCAAATCCCCCCCTCCCCCCCTGTGCACACAGCGAACCATATCAATGGGACTTCACATGAGTGAGGACGTGCTTGGGGGGGGTAAAAAAAATCCCCGCGGCGAAAATGAAGCCGAGGTGAGCGCCCCCCCGGCGCACCTCGTCTCATCTCTCTGGACAATCGCAATCAGACACCCGCCGCATTTTGATAAATGACCAGCGGGGGAGCAAAAAAAAATAAATAAATAACAATAGAAAATGTAAGCTCCAGACTATTATGGCGAGAGCAGCGTTCGTGGCAAAGGGCGGCCTCGCGGGATAATCAAGCGGATGGTGACGCGACGAAAACAAAAAAAAAAAAAAAAGGATGCAATCCATCACTGTGATCGCATCACCTTGGGCTGTTTGCCCATCAGACACTGCGCCAAACAACTGCGACGCAGCGGACGCGTCCCAAGTCGAACATCATCGCTTCCCCTGATGAAGCCACGAAAAAAAAAAAATGGACCCGTAGGAGATAACGTGGAAGGGAATTCAGTCAAACGGTATAAAAACACACTTTTTCAGTACATTGTAAACTTATTATAATAAAACGGGGAAGTCTAAACATGTATTAAAAAAAATACCGCGCGGATTGCAGTGTCTGTGTGTTAAAACGTGTGCCTTTAAGAAACGGGGTCTGGTGGGTGGTGTGCATGCTCCTCCGAGTCTGCTTGTGAGAGTGAACTGCGGTCGACAGCAGCTGCTGCGTGCGCGTGCTCGCCACGTTCTTGCCACGACGGTGGCGTTTCTGCTCATTGTCATGCTCGCAATCAGCCATTTGTGTTATTTAAGGAAGCGTACATCTTAACCCTTTCATGCGGGGGGGCCTTGTTGGGTCACACCTCTGACAGATGGCCGAGGGTGGCGAGAACAAACGCGAGCCGCCGAAGGTCAACGGGCAGACGGACAAACGCGAGGTGAGAGCAGATGCGTTCCTACCTGGGAGGGGCTGTAGAGCTCCTGAAGGGCGTTGCGGGAGCCTTTCCCGCAGCAGCCTTCCGCCACAAAAGGGTTCCTGCGCATGACTGCAAAACAGAAAGGGAGACAGTTCATAAGAAACATTTCACTCCGCGAGATTAAAATCTCGGCTTGTAAAAAATAAAGCACAGACTGTTATTTTGGTGGGAAGCAGACTTTTTTTTAAAGCGTCTGAGGAACACGTGTTGGATCAAGCTCATAGTCGACAAGTAAAAAAAAAAAAAAAAAAAAAAAAAAGTTGTCGGACTTATTCGTTTGAAAAACCCCCCCCCCCCCCCCCCCGAGCGTATCAACACAAGCCTTCACCTTTGCTGCGTGTCGCATCAGCATGCAAGAGAAGAAGAAGCGCTTGTGTGCCAAAGCACAAAGCCACACAGTTCAGCTGACTCCCATCTCAGCTCTTTTTGGACACCAAATGATACGCAAGCGGTAGCTCCTAAAACAAACCCGCTCCTATTACTCCGGGGGTGGAAAAACCCCCGACGGGTGACGCACAAGGAAAGAAAATAATCCGCTAATGAGAATCTATGTTTTTTTTTTTTTTTTTGCAGGCCTCATGTTCATGGATGAGCATATGTTGCTCCCATCAACACACCTGCATAATAAATGAGGCACATTCACATTTCTGGAGGAATTTCCATTCAGCACATCTCTCACATTTGCATCAGAGCCTTTTTTTTTTTTTTCCGGTCTGAGGAAGGATGAAGGAAACCCGCTTCATGGGGAAGGAACCGAGTCCTTTGCAGAAAGGATGCGGTCCCCAGCCCGATTTGATTACAGGGTTGGATTGAATATCGGGAACGCTTATGGCTCAATTTTATGACGATCACACCGCGCGCTGATCCGACAAACGTCATTTAAAACTCCGTCGCAGTGCTTCTATGTTGTTCCAGCGCGACACACACGAAAAAAAAAAAAAAACAAGGGCACCCCCTTGTCATACATAATGTGAACAAATAACGCCATGCTCTGAACTGTAACCGATTCGATACTCTGGCTCGTGTCAACAACAACAACAACAAAAAAAAAAAAAAGCAATTAAAAGGAAGCAGGACATGATTGAAATTCATACGCACGCCAGCTGAGGCCCGCACTCGGAATCGATATTTGCTCGCCGCGCGCACCTGCCGGTGCGCTCCGCTGTCAATTTACAAATCTGTTGACGGCAAACATGCAAATCTGTCTTTGCCTTCCAGCCAGCGCACCCGCTCGCGATTGGCACAGGCCGTCTGCGAAAGTCCACATTCTGCTTTTTTTCAATCGCTGGGGTATTTTTTCCCCATTGGTTCAAAAACCCCGGGGGAAGTGGACCGAAGTCCACCGTCGTGACCGCCGTCCCCGAAAGGGTTAATCATAAGCATCGGGGTCACACAGCCACGGGGGACACGTATCCGTTAGCAACAGCAAGCCAGGCTGCTAATGATGCATGTCAAAATAAACCACAATAACACTGGTTGAAAATACGCAGTCCCACTTCTGTTTTTTTATTCCAGCTAGATTGTAATTCTCAAGAGATAGAAAAAAAGTGCAATGCCTTACGCTGTTCTCCAGGTACGCGGCCACACACCCACCATATAGTGCACGCGGGGAAAATAAAGAGTGGAGCTGCCTAATCTGCCTTTTAGATTGCATCGCTACTGAGTTGGCATCTCGTTCACAAAAAAAAAATAAAAAAAACTGGTAACTATGGAAACCAGATCCCTTGACTGACCATGATAGAATTCTTGCACCTGCTGGCATGATTCTCTCCATCGGGAATTGAGAAAGCTAATAGGGGAAAAAAAAAAACCTGCCGTGCCGAAATCTTTTTAAATCGATTTACGGTGGCGGCTTGAGATACGAGTGGCAACACTGAAGTGTTTCAGGATGAGAGCAGTGCCTTGGCTGATTTCGTTTTGACTCGCGGGACAAATAACTTTCACAATAAGCAGCAGCTTACTGTCAAGCTAAACATAAAACAAAAGTCATCATCTTTTTAAAAAAAATAAAATAACGCCATACCTTTGCTTTAATAAGTCGGTTTTGTTTAATGCAAAGGAGCAATGCTAGGTGGGCGACCAAAGAGCATCTGTGTCAGTTTTATCGCTTCAAGCAACAAATCAGTTCAATAAACACAAATGGTGGAGCAACGCATATCGATTGACAATAGAGGAATAATCACAGGCATACATTTTGTCCCCACTGTATAAACCATTTTGCCTATCAAATACTGGGCTTCACGCGAGCGCTGCTATTCACGCCAGAGCTCGACATTATTTTTATATTTTTAAAATAAATCAATAAAAATAAAAAAATAATCACAACTAAGCCAACCTTGATGCCCCATGACGTGACCCTCCATCGCACTGCCGAGGTTGCCCCAAAACATTTCCCCTTTCAATTTTATGAATGCTTTAATAAAAAAAAAAGAATCATAATAAAAAAATTAAAATACAGTTGTGTGGAGCTGCTTGAGCAAATATTCATGACGGGCATACGCAAATGTGTTTCACGAAGAAATCAATAATAGAAAGGAGTGTCGGCGCAGAGCGCCAACGCGGATGTGGAACTGGGAGTCGCAGCTCGGAGTTGAAGCGGATTACGTGGGACAGGAGATGTGAGACGATCTCTTTTCGTCAATGGACGCCACGGCCTCGTGTTTGCTTTCAAAACTTAGCTCGGAGCAGACGTGTGCACATTTTTAGCATGACGTCCGTGATCCACTGGTGAAAGGACACTTTGATCTTCTCCTCTTTCATCTCTAACTGCTTTAAACAACAAAGTGTATGCAGGAAAAGTGATTAAGATCGCGCGACGGTGTCTCATGTGTTGTGTTGTGTTCTATTGTTATTTTGACTTCAAGATGGCGCCGCGAGAGCGGCTGCCTTTCCAGCAGCTCCTTTATTTTGTTCTTCTACTTCTTCCTTTCTTTGCTGCTGTGAATTGGGAATTTCTTATCTTAACCTGATTTTGAGTCTGCGGCTTTTCTTGTCAAAACGTGACTCCAAATTTCCATCCTAAGGATTTATTAAAAATTGATTCAAACTACGCTCATTCACTAATGCTGCTGGAATCGAAGTGTATTGAATCGGAGGAATTGGCTCTTGTGCCGGGAGTACTTAGTTCACATGGGGAGCGCTGTGGAGGGGGGGGGGGGGGGAAAAAAAAACATGCTCAGTCAGGGCTCGGCAATCACGCACAACATCTGCCGCCATCTAACAGCGGAGGATTATGGGCCTCTGGAGGGAGATTAATTTGTGCCTAATCTTACCTACGCAGTGGGACAGGGCGGAGAGCCACTTCGCACTGTGCCACGTGCACACAAGACTGATGATTGGGACGAAACACTGGCAGCCGCGACGACGTCTGTGTGCGTGTGGAGCGTCGCCTACTAGTAGCGAATCGGGCGAGCGGGGATGTTGGCACAGCTTCATTTCGCAAAGCTCGCAATTGGAACTCCGAGGAAGTCATGTTTACGTGCGCGCAAAAGCAATCAAGTCTCCGGCGGAAGGCTGGCAGCACGTGTCCGTTTCCTGGGCCGAGTGTAATAATCCCCCTTGATGATGATTACCAGCGCGGCGATAAGAGACGAGCAATTTCGGTTTGGCCGGGCTCCAACGCCGAGAGGTTCGCGCGCGGGCGCACGGCCCAAAAAAGGAAGCGTCGACGTGATGGGATCTTTTGCGGGCAGCTTAAGATCAAATCTGACAAACTCGTGAATGGCAGATTGGAGTGGGAGGATGTGTCAGTTGGACGGCAGTCAACAATTTGCCTTTTTTAAAAAAATAAATAAATAAATACATAATCATCATTTGGAAGCGTTCTATAGATGGCATGCAATTTGACTCGAAAGAAGACACACTAGGCAACGCAAGTTATTTCTTATCCTTCTTGACAAGGTGAACACTGGAAACTGTTAAATTGATAAAAACGTTTCAATGGCTTTATTAAAAAAAAACAAAAAAAAAAAACAAAAAACGAAATGGGCTTTCATAACGTGCACTTGCGCTAATACATTCTGAGTACGGTTCGCCCGTTTTCTGAAGCTGCGCCGTGATCGGTCGTGACCTGAGCCCTGAGAAACTGTGATGTCATTTTCAGTCTACAGCAAATGGCAAAAATGGCCGCCGCCCCCTGAGATGGACAAAAAAATCTGCTGGACTCATATTCCACATCCGCAAACACGAATCAGAATGGCGTGTTTACACTTGACTGAGACATCTGTGAATAAGATTCATTAAAAAAAAAAAAAAATATGCAAATGATAGTTTGTTGAGACAGACAAAAATATCACTCCGTACTTCACCATATCTGCTTGTGAGAGGATCCGAGGCAGCTGATTTTTGTGGCGACTCCTCCCTCCGGTCCGACCGCCCGTACAATTAGGAACACCTGCACCACTGCCGGCGGCTCAAAAAAAATGGGCCGAAACCATCAGAACAACTCGAAGCGAGTAAGCACATCCAACATCTGTTCTTTTCATTTTCTGCGCCGTTCAAAACCTCTGTCTCGTCTCGAAAGTGACATCACAACAATCTGCCTTTTTAAAAAAATAAATAAATAAACACATAATCATCATTTGGAAGCGTTCTATAGATTACATGCAATTTGACTCGAAAGGAGACACACGAGGCAACGCAAGTTATTTCTTATCCTTCTTGACAAGGTGAACACTGGAAACTGTTAAATTGATAAAAACGTTTCAATGGCTTTATTAAAAAAAAAACAAAAAAAAAAAACGAAATGGGCTTTCATAACGTGCACTTGCGCTAATACATTCTGAGTACGGTTCGCCCGTTTTCTGAAGCTGCGCCGTGATCGGTCGTGACCTGAGCCCTGAGAAACTGTGATGTCATTTTCAGTCGACAGCGAATGGCAAAATGGCCGCCGCCCCCTGAGATGGACAAAAAAAATCTGCTTGACTCATATTCCGCATCGGCAAACACGAATCAGAATGGCGTGTTTACACTTGACTGAGACATCTGTGAATAAGATTCATAAAAAAATATGCAAATGATAGTTTGTTGAGACAGACAAAAATATCACTCCGTACTTCACCATATCTGCT